TTGTGTGCGAACCTTCTTCACACCATGTCAGTCAGTATGACCAATTCTTGTGTGCTAACCTTCTTCACACCATGTCAGTCGGTATGACCAATCCTTGTGTGCTAACCTTCTTCACACCATGTCAGTCAGTATGACCAATCCTTGTGTACTAACTTTCTTCACACCATGTCAGTCAGTATGACCAATCCTTGTGTACTAACTTTCTTCACACCATGTCAGTCGGTATGACCAATCCTTGTGTACTAACCTTCTTCACACCATGTCAGTCAGTGTGACCAATCCTTGTGTACTAACCTTCTTCACACCATGTCAGTCAGTGTGACCAATCCTACTTTTCTGCTACATTCTAACCTTCTTCACACCATGTCAGTCAGTATGACCAGGTCTACTTTTCTGCTACATTCTAACCTTCTTCACACCATGTCAGTCAGTGTGATCAGGTCTACTTTTCTGCTACATTCTAACCTTCTTCACACCATGTCAGTCAGTATGATCAGTTCTACTTTTCTGCTACATTCTAACCTTCTTCACACCATGTCAGTCAGTGTGACAGGTCTACTTTCTGCTACATTCTAACGTTCTTCACACCATGTCAGTCAGTATAATTTTCCTCTATGTTCTGAACTTCTTAACATTTTTCAGTTTTTTAAAAGTATAGTTTATTAACTACAATATTATTAGAAAGTTAAAATTAAAAAATATATTTTCATTAATTTGGATTATTTTTTCTCAGTTTGAAAGCAACTCTACGTTTTTCAGCAAACGTATATTTTGTTTTCAGACTTCAGATGATGACACTGTTAACAAGATACCTTACAAAAAAGACCATATAACTTTATATTTTAATGTTGCCAACATTTTAAAAATCTATAAATATTTACTCTTAACTTTTTTCCTTAAGAAACGGCAGTTGTGTCATTGGATATTTCCTGTTATTGACGGTATAAAATATAGTAAGAGAAATTTCGTAAATGCTTGTTAATTTGTCATTTTGTATACTGTTTTAAATGTATAGTTTCATTGTTTACTTTTCCATATTCACACATGTTTTGGTATAAAATTGTGACAAGACTTCTGCTTTGATAAGCTGTATCAGTAAATGATTACGATATGTATATCAATATGTTTAACAGAGACAAAGAAACGGGACCAGCCTGCACTGTAGCTACCACGGTGGCCCTGCCAACATTAAGCATAGAGAATACACCACTGTTTCTTGAACTAAAAGCCCCTGCACATGGGTGGGTCAGGATTCCGTTAACAATTACGTACTATCTTCACAATCGAACTTCCAGCGTGCAGGACATAGAAGCTTTCGTGGACAGCAGTGATGCTTTTATGTATGCTGGAAATAAGCAGGTAAACAGTCCAGTGTCTTTATGATTTTCTTATGTGTTGAAAATGATCAGGTAAACAGTCCAGTGTCTTTATGATTTTCTTATGTGTTGAAAATGATCAGGTAAACAGTTCAGTAAACAGTTTAACAAATACACTGGTCACATAGTGTCCCACATATTTTGGTCAACAGCTACACTGGCCACATAGTGTCTTACATATTTAGGTCAACAGCTACACTGGTCACATAGTGTCCCACATATTTAGGTTAACGGCTACACTGGTCACATAGTGTCCCACATATTTAGGTTAACAGCTACACAGGCCACATAGTGTCCCACATATTTAGGTTAATAACTACACTGGTCACATAGTGTCCCACATATTTAGGTTAACAACTACACTGGTCACATAGTGTCCCACATATTTAGGTTAA